GTATTTTTGCATCTCATTTTCTTGAAATCCACCAATATTAGGCTATACAAGTTTGCTGAATTCTGATTCAAATTGTCCATTAATTTATTAAATTAACAACACTGAAGTGCTTACCCAAAAATGTGCAAGACTGTTCACTTCCATAGTTTTCTCCAGCAAGTCATCTGATGATTCAATGAATTTCTTTCCAGTAACAATACCTGCATTGTTTATTAGAATACTGACATCTCCAACCTCTCTTTTTACCTGTCAAAAACAAACAAATAAATCGCAACACATACATCAAACTCTTCACCTTCATTGGTTTTACATAAATGAGCAGTGTCTCGTACTTTAAGAGTTATTCTACTGTCTCTAACTCATTTGTATTCTAATCTATGAAGTTGTAAGTACATTAAATCATAAATATAAAACAATGTAAGTAAAGTAAGTAAGACAGAAAAAAATGCCCTTCTTCAACAGCCTATCATCTAGGATGCATGTAACATAGAACACAGAACAGTACAGGACAGGAATGGACCCATCAGCCAAAGATGTTGTGCTGAACATGATGCTAAACTAAACTAATCCTTTTTTGCCTGCCCTTGGTCCATATTCCCCCATTCCTTGCATATTCATGCACTTTTCTAAAAGTCCCTTAAATGCCCCTAATATATCTGCCTCCACCACCACCCCTAGCAGTGTGTTCCACACTGTATAAAAAGACTTGCCCCTAACATCTCCTTTGAACTTTTCTCCCTCACCTTACATGCATGTCCCCTGGTATTGAGCATTTCAACTCTTGGGGGGGAGAAAAGAGATTCTGACCATCAACCTTATCTATGCATCTCATAATTTTATAGATTTCTATCAAGTCTCCTCTCAATCTCTGCTGCTCCAGAGAAAACAACCTGAGTTTTTCTAGCCTCTCCTTATAACACATATGCTCTTATTCTGGTAAACCTCTGCTTCACCCTTTCCAAAGCCTGTACATTTTTTCTGTAATGTGGCAGCCAGAATTGAATGCAGTACTCTAAGTGTGGCCTAACCAAAGTCTTATAAAGCTGCAACACATCATCTGTGCTCACCAATCAAGAGAAACTGATTCTGTTTATTCTTTCTATTCCGTATTCCAGTGCAGAATATTAAATGGTGAATGGGAGTCAATCTTTATTTGGCCCAACAATTATTTAGAGAGATCAACAAGACAAATATATGCTGCCCTAGTCATTTACTCCGTATTTTCAATAATTGCCCTTTTAGGTACTCAAGTACCTGCATATAATTAAACACTAATGATAGACATTTGACAGATTTCCTGTCTCTGTAAATAAGACTTAATATGCAAAATCAAAATAAATATACATATCAATTTATTTTAGAGATTTCCTTTCTTTCCAGTATTTATTTCAAGTCAGCAAGGCCAATCTGTAACATTTCCTCACTTACACCATTTTTTGGAGTGTTTATTATCTAAAAGGAACAATTATTGGGTATTTCTCAGCTTTTCTATCTTTACTATTGTTCCTCATATAGCATCCTATTTTCACTCTTTCTAAAATATCCAGTGTTTCATCAATTAAAATACTTTTAACAACTCTTATCTTACTTCCTAAGCTAAAAGGATATTGTCCCATAAGACATGTAATAACACAACTGTAGACTTTAGGGTTTATCATCGTAGTTCTTAGCTTCAAAGCAGCAAAACTAGCATCTGGTGTAATGTGAGCACACGCCAACCTGAACTGACTAATTGAGCTTCACAACTGCTGTTTCATCTTTCGAGAATGACCTAGCACAATTCACCAGGACGAAACAAAGTAGGATTGTGGATTCAAAATTATTCCAGATTTACCCTGATTAATATCTAAATGTCGCCTTTTAACCCTACTACTAGTTTTATGTTCTGCTCTAATCTGAAAACTGGATTTTTTAAATTCTGTAAAACCACCCTATTAATGCTTTTTTGCCTCCATATAATTAAACTAGACCCACAGCAATGTTAACGGCCTTCCATGCAATTAGGAATGGGCGATGAGTGTTGTTTGGCCAATGACATACACATCATAATGAACAAAAAAAACTGATAAGCAATTAATAATCTGTTCCCATCAATATCTTGAAAACATTGATCAAATTACATCAACCATCTAAACTGTAGGAAATACAACCCCAACTTATGTAATCACTTCATTATTTACCCTTGAAATTTAGGTATCTGTTAAACATAGGTTGCACTTCTCTCCAAGACAAATGTCTTTTAAGTGTAGTACCCAGAGCTGCATTCAGAATTAAAGATGTGATTTAACTCAGGTTTTGTATAACTGAATTATAGGTTCGAACCTCTCATGTTTTAGTCCTGTAGATATACAGACCAGTATGCGATTGATTATTTTCTGAATATTTTCTGTACCTATTCATGACATATTAATCACCTATGTCCCTAAGTCTCTTTGGGCTACTACTGTTTCTAATTTATCATTTAGAAAGCATCCTCCTCTATAATTTCAGTTCAAAGTGGATGACTTTACGTTCAACTGGTATTGAAATCCATTTGTCATACTTTTGCCCATTTATTTCATCTGTCATTTTATGTTTTTTCCTACATTGTGACATCACCACATTTGAATATGACTTCCTATCTCATCTAGTGATAAATTATGAATAATTGAGGCCTTAACACAAGCTTGCAGCACGCCATTTAAGTCACACCCATCCAGATTGGTGGCATGCCACCAATTAACCCAGATGTGTTATGGACCAGACTAAACCACCTCAGTTGTGTTAAAAAGATAGCCTAGATCCTAACTTTTTCTTATTTTAAAGGTAAGTGTAAGGTGTTGTGTTCTAGATATAATTCAAAAAAAAAACTACTAATTAACCGTTCAAATAGAATATCATCCCTTAAACCCACGCTTGGCAAAGGCAAATTGAGTAAAATAGATTGTCTCTCACACAATTCTAACAGAAGAACCCCAGCTTTTAGCTGTGAGAGAGTGAGGACATCCGGCTTCAAGATCCCAGAAATTACCAAAAGCTAAAACTAAAAATCCTGCTTTTGTGGGAGCTTGACCCCATCATTCAGGTTGCTTGTATATTTCCAACTTAAAAAAAACCTCACAAGCCGTTTACTTTATTGGCTTCGAGCAGCCACTTGTCATCTCTGTCTCAACCTCTCTTCTTTAAAAAAAAAGGACAAAATACACTCTTAAGTCCATAGTATCATCACACTTACCCCCTTAAAAGAAATGAACCACCATTATCTAAAGATAGTGTCATTTAAAAACCTTTAGCTTACACTATAACACATATACATTATATCGACTCCAAGCATAGTCACTATTACAGTCTATTTCAGTCAGTCTTTTACCCTCTACCACTGAATGCCACTGTCTTCATTCAAAGTCTTGACAATGCATCACCAATTATTTTCTCTTGTCCTGACAAGTGTATAGTTTTCAAATTGAATGGCTGCATTAATAAACTTCATCTGAACAGTCTGGAATTTTATCCTTAAATATTTCCAAAAAAAAAACTTCAAAGGGTTTATAATTTGTATAAACAATTGTCTCAGACCCATCTCAACATTTGTATTACTATTGATGTTGTAATGCCAACACAAAACTCATGGTTTCCTTCTCAGTCATGGAAATTTTCTGTTGATGCTTATTTCTGGAAAATACCCAATACATCTATCTTCTTGTCATCATCTTGCAAGATAATAGCACCGACACCCACATCACTCACATCGATAGCCACTTTGAATGGCTTTGTATCATTAAGTGTGGCCAACACTGGGGCAGTGGTTAACATAACTTTCAGACTGAAAAATGCCTTCTGACATTCCTCTGACTACTGCAATTTTCTGCACTTCTTCAACAAGTCAGTGGAGGAACCACACTGCTAAATTCAGTAAAAACTTCTGATAAAAGCCACTCCGTCCTAGGAATTGTAGTATTTCTCCCTTTGGCAATTGTGTGGGAAACCACCCAGTAACTTTTGTTTTCACATCCCATGGGGCCACATGTCCAAGTCTAATGACATGGCCCAAGAATGTGATTTGGCCTTTTACGAACTCATCCTTGGCCAGGTTAATCATTAAGTCCACCTCCCAAAGTCAATCAAACAATTCCTATAGATTCTCCAAATGTTCCTTCAATGTGTGAGTAAAAATATCACCAGATTGTCTATATATATCACACAATTGGGTAATCCGGAAATAATTTTACTGGATATGTGACTGGCACATTTTTCAAATGGGACAGTCCATTTGGAGTCACGAAAGCAGAAACTTCCTTCGCTTTTTCAGATAAAGGTACCTGCCAGTATCCTCCAGGTAAGTCCATCTCATATGGAACATAAATTTCTTCTCCCACCTTCTCAAAACAGTCTTCAAAATGTGGAATAGGATATGAATTAAATTTTGTAACTGCATTTACTTTGCGATAGTCCACACATATTTGTTGGGTACAATCTGGTTTTGGCACCTGTACAATGGGTGATCTCCATTCGCTGCAACTCACTTCAATTATATTGTCTTTGAGCATGCATTCAATCTCTTTTTCAACCTGTGTCAACTTTAGAGAGTTAAGTCTATAAGACTTAATTTGAACAGCATTTCCTTTATCTACATCATGCATAATCAGATTAGTACTTCCCAGATATTTCCCACATATCTCTCCATATGATTTTAACAACTCTTTCAAGTAATTTCAATGTTCCTTTGGAAGGTAACCTCAATAATTTATCCCAATTTTTGAGGACTTCCTCATTGTCCAATTTAAATAGAGGAATGTCTAATTCAGAATCATCTGAACTTGTTTTGTCACTCTGTGTTGTAACAGTAGCACATTCTCCTTTCATTTTCCTTCCCTTTCAAAATACCTTTTGAGAATATTCACATGATACACCATGTGAGATTTTGTTCT